ACAGCCCCCCGAACCGTCCCCTCCCCCCAGCCCCCTCAAGGGAGCCCCCGACAGCCCCCCCAACTGTCCCCTCCCCCCAGCCCCAAGCATGCCTCCCCCAGGACCCTCTTTCCCCCCCCCCCAACTGCTGGGGCAGCCCTATGGACCCCGAGGCCCCCCCACCCCAGCCCCTCACCTCCTGCAGGGCCAGCAGGGCCATGGCCTGCCAGCGGAAGTCCACACCCCGGGTGTACATCAGGCAGATCTCCCGCACCTGGGGGGGGCAGCGGGTGAGACCGGGCTGGCAGAGCCAGGGGGCAGGTGGCTGGGGAGGGGGGAGTTACGGGGCTGGTTGGGTCCATGGGGCAGACCGGGGAAGGGGGGGCTGGGACGTTCTGAGTGTGATCTCATCTCTCATTGACAGGGGCCAGGCCAGAGAGAGTCAATTCCCGCCCAGACCCACCTGCCCCAAGGCCCAACTTCAGAGACTCGTTAGGAAGATCTGGGAACGAGCAGAGCTGGGAAACGCAGCCACATCGTTAGGGAGACGGGAGATGATGTACGCAAACAAGGCTTGTCTATTGCTAGGGCTTTGATTCAAAGACCAAACCGGGATATTAACCTTTGGGGAGACACTGGAGGGAAACACACCCCTACCCCGATAGACCGCGACCCGATACGACATGAATTCGGATATAACGGGGTAAAGCAGCGCTCCGGGGGCGGGGGGGGTGGGTGCACTCCGGCGGATCAAAGCAAGTTCGATATAACACAGTTTCACCTATAACACGGGAAGATTTTTTGGCTCTCGAGGACAGCGTTATATTGGGGTAGAGGTGTAGGGTTATTGACTGTGTCTCTTTGAAGGTTGTGGTGACCTGGATCTGAACTGTTTCATGGATAAATTACCCTGTGCTAATTGTTTGGAAGAAGGAAAGTTAAGTCTATTGTTTTCTCAGGCCAAGCGGCTGCGGGAAATGTATAAAAACCCTGGGACACGATCCTGCTTCATCTCAGATCTGCTTTGGGTTTCAAGAGGGGGAAACCCTGAGCCACAAGGATTGAGATCCCCAGTCACTGACTGGAGCCACCCTGAATATGGACATTGGACTATAACCGCTGGACTATTTCTAAAAGGACTTTTGGCCACTACAAGCTCATCTCTGCTGTGTCTGAACCTCAAGAATTGAATTCAAGTCTGTCTGTATATTGATCTTTTAACCAACGCTCTCTCCCTTTTCTTTTTTCATAAATGTTAGTTTAGTTAATAAGAATTGGCTATAATGTGTATTTTGGGTAAGATCTAAGTTATCATTGGACCTGGGTGTGTGGCTGACTCTTTGGGGTTGGAAGAACATTTTCTTGTATCTGATGAGATCAGATTTTCAGAATGTATCATCACCTGTTTAACGTGTGTCTGGCCGGAGGCCGGGGACTCGACGGGCCCGGCGCGGTTTGGCGGCTGAGTGACCGGGGCAGTGACACGGGGGCTGGTGGGTAAATCTCAGCACTGGAGGATCCACCAGCGTTGGGGGTTTGTCTGCCCCGGTCTGTTTGCAGTTCACCCTGATTGAGTGACCTCAGCTGGTTCCCAGGGCACCCACCCTTACAGGGGGGAAGGGAGCTCAGAAGGGGGGACTGTTGTTTGTCACGCAGGAGAAGGGGGGCAGAGGGAGGTAGAAGGGGCATCACTCACCACATGGGAGAAGGGGAATGGGAGGGTCACTCACAACACGGGAGAAGGGGGGCAGAAGGGGAGTTACGGGGGGGTGACTCACCATGCAGGAGAAGGGAGGGTAAAAGGGGGGGTAAAAGGGAGTAACAGGGGGACGGGGGGCAGAGGGGGGTCACTCACCACTCAGGAGAAGGGGCATAGAACGGGCGTTGAAGGGGGTGTGTGTGACTCACCACACGGGAGAAGGGGGGATAGAAGGAGGGTAGAATGGGAGTTAGAAGGGGGGGGTAACGGGGGCAGAAAGGGGGGTAACGGGGGGTGACTCACCACGCGGGAGAAGGGGGGTTAGAAGGGGAGTAACAGGGGGGCAGAAGGGGGCGTAACGGGGGGGGTGACTCACCACGCAGGAGAAGGGGAGTAACAGGGCAGATAGAAGGGGGGGGTAGAAGGGGGGTAACAGGGGGCAGAAGGGGGGTGTGACTCACCACATGGGAGAAGGGGGGTAACAGGGGGCAGAAGGGGGGTGTGACTCACCACATGGGAGAAGGGGCGTAACAGGGCGGATAGCGGGGGGTAGAAGGGGAGTAACAGGGGGGTAACGGGGGGGTGACTCACCACGCGGGAGAAGGAGGGTTAGAAGGGGGGTAACAGGGGGTGTGTGAGACTCACCATGCGGGAGAAGGGGGATTAGAAGGGGGGTAACAGGGGGCAGAAGGGGAGGTAAAGGGGGGGTGTGACTCACCACGCGGGAGATGGGGGGGTTAGAAGGGGGGTAACAGGGGGGCAGAAGGGGGGTAACAGGGGGGTGTGAGACTCACCACGCAGGAGAAGGGGGGTTAGAAGTGGGGTAACAGGGGAGCAGAAGGGGGGGTAACGGGGGGTGACTCACCACGCAGGAGAAGGGGGGCAGAAGAGGGGTACCAGGGGGGTAACAGGAGGGGGTGACTCACCACGCGGGAAAAGGGCAGTTTGCTGATCAGG